CAGCCTGAGGCAGGCTCTCAGCATGGGAAATCTTAGTGTGAACTGTGCAAATTTGGCAAAGTCATGAGCAACTAAAACAGGGTCTTTTATAAGCAAGCAGCAAAAGGCACTGGCTGGGGCATTACTATCAGCAACTGCAGCACCTTCAGTGCTTTGAGAGACAAATACCAATTCTAAATTTAAGCCTTGAAGAACAGGAAGAAGGTGGCAAAAATTTAAACAAACCATTTCAGCATTGGGGGGTGAAAAGATTGCCTTTGTCAAGCTGAGAAAGATACCCTGTCTCTAAGCTAAACCCTAACTTTTCTATATAAAGTTTGCTACAGAAACTGGAATTGGAACTCATTAGTATCTGCTCTAGTACTCTGACCTTCTGAAAACGACTGTCGTTATTACTAGTGCTGTGTATTGATACTCTGCTTGGCACAGCGCAACATGCAAGATAGATGGTCTCTGCCAGAGCAACTGGAAACAAGGCTTTGGCTGAAAGTTCTGTTTAATCATCCTTATTTTCTTCCTTTTCCATTTTATCAGTTGTCTAAAAATGTTAGCATTTAATCACATACAAGCGTATTCCCTTTCCAACCACAAATAATAATAGCCCAATCCACTGGAGTTTTTCCATGACTTTGATGAGAACTGGATCAGATCCAAAATGAAATGGTTTGGCAAGGAGTGGAAGACTTGTAGAAAACAGGGGTAGTGGTAAAGGGTTGAAACAACAATCCTTATAGCAATTAAAAATGGCATGGCTGACTTTTCATATCTAATATTTCACAACAACAGAACTTTTTGCAATTATGTTTCATTAGTATCATGTAGTTACAAGAACCACTGCAACAAAGCGGGAACAGAAATATTAATAGTTCATGTCTGTATTACAGTAGTACTCAGATCTTAATTGAGATCAGATGTGCATACTGCATTCAGTAAGAGAGAAAACATGCAGCACTGACATTGCTCTAATACTTCGTGTCTACACTGCCCCTTACTTTCTCCACCTCTTCTTTTTATTCCTGGACCTTTCATGAACTTGAAAATGATACAGGAAAGGCTTCTCGGTGATCGAAGTGTGATAACCAGCTCTTCCAGCTGATGTGTTAAATGCAGTGGGGCAGTCTAAGTAACTTCTGTAGTTCATCAGGCTCTATGTAAGGATTTCTAGAATATCTATCTTAAGTAGGAACTAATCCAAAAATACATAAAATAAACACTTACAAACTGCCAGTTGCTATGGCTACAGTTATCAGCCCTAACTCCCTATACCTCCAGAGCTCACTAATAACAGGGTTTCACTGAAATCTGAGAGCTGTCCTGTACAGGCTTAAAACCTCCTTTTGTACAGCAAATAATGTAGCATGTTAACGAGCTGAAATATGGCAGAACATATATAATCTAATGCATTCCATACGTTTGATTTGTTTTGCCAAACATCTCCAACTTCTCCAAACCATGATTACAATCAAAACCAAGGCAACTCCCTGCATGATCAGCCCCACAACTTGAGCTCATATTTAACACTTCCTGTGTTTCAACCACTCTGAATATCCCTGTCAGCTCTGGAATTTGTTTTGGCTGTTTTCTAGCACAATCAAAACCTTATGGCTGTGTTCAGCATATAGAGACCAATGTAGTCAATTGAATTTTATCCTTCAGCAGCTGCCTGGTATTGCTTTTTGGTCAAGAACTTTTTAATAAGCTATTAACAGCAAAAACAGAGAGGCAGAGACAGTCGATAAAAAATAATGATGTATCACAGACGATTCTGGAAGGAGGATATTTTAAATGCCACCTTCTTTTCAGTTCATCATTGAATTTTGAAGTCAGTATCAGCTTTGCATGACAAATGTAGGAACTGGTAGAAATGTCACTTAACATTTGGTAGCAGCATCCCACTTCTTAAATCTGAAAAAACAAATGCTCTCCCAGTAGCAGACAAATACCAAGGTACAAAACACTGACAAAAGCTTAAACAACACCTGACATATTCTAATCCTACTGACATACAAATATTCTCAAGTGGTAAATAGTGCCAAATGGTACATTGGCACCACACCTCTCATTTCTAATTATACACCACTGGATGCATTTTAGAGCTACTGCAGAAGTTATTTTTTAACTAGCAGAATTAGTGTAAAATTAAGTTGGGGCTGTTTATGATATGGCTCCAGTGCTGCTACAGTGCAAAGAAATCATTTAACAGGCATCTATATAATAGAATCATGTAAATATTTACCAGTCTTTAAACACACCTTAGAGACCACCAACACGCAGAAGGTGAGGAATAAGCTTTTCCTCAAGAGATATCCTTCTTTAGCTTCTTTTGAGGACACATTTTAGAAATGTAAATTATTTATCCTGAACTAATTACTAAGCTTTGGAAGAATACTAATTATTCTCTAATTAAAGTGACTTTAAATCGAGCACGTAGTATCATATCTGGCAGAATTGCTTTAATTCTTCGCATGGAAAATATCCTCTTACAAATGCAAATCAAGTAATTAATATTTTAATACAGTTATTCTGATACTGTTTTTTTTTAATTGAGTGTCAAAATAAGTAATGCTGTAGTTACAAGCATGGATTCTAAGATCCAGAGCCAGCCACACAGGGCCTCTGTGCAGCAGTCCTCATCTTTCGCCAGATTCACCATAGCAGTAGGATTATGGTACAATTCATGGGAAGATTTCAGTGCAGTTGGAGGTTTCAGTTCTATGTTTTATATGGCTCAGATTCTGTGTGGAGTCTTTGTAGAGCAGAGCAAGGGGAAGGAGAACAAGAAAATGAGGCAGCAAAGCCCAGTGCTTGAAGTCTGGTGGTCTCTCTGTAGGACAGCTTCTGCCAAGCAAGTCAGGGGCAGCAGAATAGATACTCAAGTATGAATAGGGATGTGTCAAGCTCAAAATAAGCAGATTCCTTCTCAAAAGAAAGTTCCCTTACAGCAGCACAAAAATGACACTGTGCAGTCCATCCAGTTCACAATTGTCAAGGTACTGGACCTCATCAGACCTCAGATTAATTCAGTTATTTCTAATATTAACAAAGAAACTGAGAGTATTTTCATGGCATTTGGCCTTCAACTTCAAAAAAAATTTAGTAGAGTTCTTTGTATTGAATTGTAATTGTAAAATGACTGCAGAAATCATGGAACGTGGTTGTTTTCATTTGGCTTAATCTGCTAAAGCTGATAATGAGGACTTTGTCAGGAACTGGTGGCGTACAAGAAACAAGGGAAATTAAAGGAATAACTCCTTTAGCCTAAAATGCTTCATAACCTCGTAATTGTGGTAATTCTTAAAATTGTAATTTTGAAGTAAAGGATCACAGTGAATCAAAAGCCAAAGTAAGAACAGCTTTAGGTGCTAGCATGGCTGAATTCACTCTGTGCAGCACTAATAAGCATTTTAAGGGTATCCAGAAGCAAATGCAGGAATAATACTGCTTTAGCCTCATCAAAAGAAAACTGAAATGGATTAAACAGGCCAGTATGTACAATAACATTGTCAGGGACAATATAGGGGTTAGTTTTGTACAGATCAAGTGCCAGTCCTATGGGTATATGTGATTCCACACACTGCTGGATTTTATCTACTTATGTTTCAGGTGTGTTTAGAGATCTCGGACATGACTCTAGTGCAAAATGCAAAGTCTTAGCCCTAAGTCAGTAAATATCAGTCAGGTGAGACCTGACTGAAGATACTGGTATAAATACGCAGAGACCTGCAAGCAGTAACTTGTACCGCTCTGACACAGTGGTGTGTAGGAGACTGGAAAGAATTGGTAATAAATCCATGCTACCATAAACCATTTTCCTTTCTGTACAGTATGTGCCTGCTCAGTCCTGCTACCGGCAGGATCACTGCAGTGCCACTGCATTTCAGTGAGCTCAGAATCATCCCTGTGAATAGCAGTAAAGCACAAATTACAATGGAGGAAGAAGTAGGTTAAAGAACATGCTGCATGATAAAACAACATGTAAATCAGATCTAGCTGAAAAATGTCACATTTGTCTATAACCACTGTTTCCAAGACTGATAATACAATGTAACGATAGTAACAGCTCTTGGCCTGCAAATAACATTTTCTATCTCTGGTAATGATACATAAAGTAAAAAATGCTGTCTTTGACTTTCTTAAAATATGTGCTTTCCCTTAAGCAGATCCCATTGAAATCATGGCAAATTCATCAGATGGCCAGAAACGGACCCAGATAGTAAGTTCCTTTTTGAATGAAAGGGTGGCCTGAGGTAGGCATTTTTATTCACTTCATATATAAATTAAGAAAACAAGATAATGGTGCTAAAGGAACACTGTTTGCTTAAAAATATGAGTGTTCTTGTAACCCTAAGGTTATCCTACCAGTGTTTGCATGATTAGAATTAGGTTTTCCTGTTTTTCCTTTTTTTCCTGTAGCTGTAGGACAAAGGGAAGCAGAGAAACTGTCTGTATTAAATAGCATTGCCAGATGTGCTAGTAAACAAGTGGAAAAATACTCATTTTCTGTAAGTGTGTCCCCTGAGGTATTATTTACAGCAATCGTAGGCAATACTTACTCAGAAAGGCATTTATATGTTTCCTCCTAAACACCCCCACTACAGTACCCTTGCATGGGCCTAATGCTGGACATGGGAATAGTCCCAGTCAGGTTAGTGAGGCCAACTTTGTCCATCCTTGACTGCAAACAGAGACATTTGCTGATCTGGGAGCTGCTGATGGAGTCCTTTGCTGGATGGGCATTCACGTGTTCCCATCCCCACCAACAGGCCTGATTAAACTTGCCATTCTAACTCCAGTGTAGCAAGGCAGACCACCACACAGCGCATTAAACCACCACTTCATCTCCTGCCTCAACAGCTCTAGATCTGACTCCTGAGCTTCACCCTGCACAGTAACAGCCTCCACCTCTTTTGTCCCAGCACATTCCACATAAAGGCCAGGCAGTGGTTGATGCCTGTACCAGGCAGTCGGTTACCCAGCACCCACATGAAGATGGACGGTACCTTTCTTTTCGCCTGTAAACGGTACAAAGTCTTCTCTGTCTTTGTGCTCCAGCGCTTGCTTCTCCAGGTACGAGAGCAGGCGCTCTCTGTCAAACGGGCCCGTGGCAGGTTTCGTGGTCTGGTCCTTTTGCCGAAATCCTGCTGGAAGCAAGGCATTCTGTGAAAGAGAGGGAGAGGAGGCAATTTCATACAGTGCTCCAGATCTCATTTCAGTGTTGTTGGGTTTTAAGTGAAGTCATTCTTGGCACGTTACTTCACATAATGCTCTTTGGTGACAGCACTAACACACATTACCTAAATGTAACCATTAAACCCAGTGTATCTTTCAGGCTTCTTGACTGTACCACTGATTAGTATTTTTATTAACTATATTTACAATTACAGCACCAAAGACCTAAGCAAGATCAGAGCCCTTTGCATTATGCATAACCACAGAGTTTGCAATCCAGGTGAACAGACCAGGGTAAGTTTTCTATACATGTCCTTCTCTTCATTCACTCTTTTACCTCCCCATTTTTTTTCTCTCTCCTTTCATCTTTTAAAAAATTCCTTTCGTGCTAATGCAGATGCTTCTTGGGCTTCAGAAATTAGTGGCACACAGAGAAAGTAACTCGTGAATGATGTGGAATTTAGTTATTTAGAGTATGCACGAAGCAGAGAGATGAAGCCCCACTTTAAACATGTAGCTCTGTGACCGTGTGATTGCATCTGTACCCATTAATATAGGAAGATGTGTAAGGCTCCCACATTTCAGTCCAGGAAATCCCAGGAAGGAGTATAGGTATGTGGATGCTGCAGTGCATGTGCAGTAAAGCCAACATGTTGAAGATGCCCCACAGTACCGCAGAAACACTCTGAAGTTGGCAGAACATACACAATGAATCTGATCCATGGCAAATACCCGGTGAATTCTGAGCACATCCAGTGAACTCAAGTCACTAGACACTTTACCTGTGCATGCACAAATGTGATCAGCGTGCTACAAATTTACTGCACATATATAGCCTGTCTACAAATGCACCATGGCCTGTTTGGGTTGGTTGGTTGGTTGTTTTAATGTGTCTCCACTTGAGATGCCAGATACTTGAAAATACCAGAAAATGCACTGTGAAAGTGGTAATAGTGAGGGAAGCGACAACATGGAGGGAGAGAACAGTAAAGCCAACACTTAATTTCTGGGTAAATTTGTGCTATAGAACTAGGAGCTATAAATCTATTGTGTTTTTTCGAATGTATTTTGTTTCCAGAGTGAACTCCTTTTTGGTTTTGGGGTAGATACAGTCAGAATTCCCATCCAACACACTTGTGACAGTAACATCGTTATTATGGGACCAAGTAATTCCTAGGCCAGAGATCTTTAAATTTCTTTTGGAGAGTGTCTTCAAATATCCATATTATCCTTGCTCTCTAGAAAATGTCAGTTGTGTAGCTGAGCTCTATTTTTCTTAATCATGCCTAAATATATTCCCTTCAGCTAGAACTATCAGTGCTGAATGACACCATCAATAAATTTCAGAAGTTCAAAAGATCTCATCTTCACAGACACACCTTATGTTTGTTTGTTTATTGCTGTGCTCATAAATAGCAGCCATAAAAAGCTTTTCATCATGCTGCAGTGTACAAATATGATTAAAGATTTAGATTGCAGACAAGCTCATGTCTACATAGACAACTGATAGAGAAAGGGCACAGTGACTTGTACAAAAGCAAGTAGCATCCTGGAATGTCCCTAGCTGAGCTGCTCCTACTTTAGGGTACGCTGCCTCTAGTGTAACAGATTACTAAAATAAAATGCTGCACTATGTGGCATTAACAAAAGGCAGCTTTTGAACCATGAATCCCCTGGCCACCATCACTAACCTCAGGATCAAGGTCATCGAGAACATGCTCCAGCTGTTTCAGTTCATCCTCTGAGAGTTTGCTGAGTATTTCATCTTCATTGATATTCTTATACTTCTCCAACTCTTTTCGGAAGGGCAGAGACATGGCTCCTGCTGCACTGCTCGACTGGTGCTGCTTGCCAAGATTTCAACCATCCAGGAGTACTGAGCTGCTTGCGGCTTCACTCACTGTTAACAATAAAGCATTATGAGTATCTCCATTTAGCTGATAGAGCCCTAAAAAGCCCACATGCTGAGAGTCACATTTACACTTTATTAATGAAAACAAAGCAGCAAGATGTCCTGGCTCAGCAGAGGGAGTGTGGGAAGTACTGGGGCTGCCTGTGCAGCAGTAGCCAAGAAACAGCAAGGAGAGTACGGTGCGCTTGGGAACCTCACGGGTGCAGCAGCAAAGAGAAGCTTTGAGACATAGATAAGAAAAAAACATTAGGAACTCATCCTTTTCCATAGAGATAAATCTGTTTAATTTGCTTAGAAACAGCAGAATCTACTTGTTCTTTTGCCTAAAGGCAGAGAAAAGTGGTAGGGTCACAGAGAACAGTCCAACGCTGACAAACAAGAAACAAAACAATATGCCTTGTGGCATTCTATCTTATCCCAGCTTTGCTGATGGCTGAAAGCTTGCCCACATCGCCTTGGCTGGCTTTTTGGTACCTTCCAGTTACCTAAGCAGTTGTAAAGCATGCTGCTTGGTAGTTTTATTTCAAAATGTTTGGCTACAAATGAAAGCACTTATCACCCAAACAATTCTTGCAGTGAGGATATGCTACTTAGAACTTAAAAAAACATCTGTAAATTAGGCTGCTCCGTGGGCACCTGCAGGCATTCAAAACACAGTCATGAAAAAATATGGACTTAGTATTTCACAAACTCTGTAAGTTTTAAAACATGAATGTGGTTCCTTGTTAGATGATTCCAACTGTTCAGTAACAAGAGTCGTTTTCATGGCCAAAATAGTCACTTCAATATTATTTGTCATTATGAAGAACTCTGTCTTCAGTCATTTTCTTCCTGTCCAGAACCAGTTCTAGAGCCAGAATCTGCTTATTAATGGAGTGAAAGAGAATTAATCTATGACCAGGAACAGCATTTGCTGGGGACTTCAGCTGTGCTCCAGGCCCTTCCAAGCCTCCCCGTTTCCCACTCCAGGACCAGAGCTCTCTGAATTACACAGCCAGCTGTGCAGTTTTACAGCTGAGTTTTTGCATTCACAAATTTCAAAGCTATGGTTGATACAGAAAACAGCCAAATGGCACCTACAGCTGGCTTATGTATGAACCCAAACTCTGATTTCCTTTGGCCGAGTCATTAGTTGTCATAAACTAAAAACATCCATGTGGGTTCTGTTGTTCTTCATATGAGCTGGAAGCCAGATATTTATTTTTCTTCTATTCAAAATCAAAATGAAAATGTGGCATTTACTTGGAGTTTCACTATTAAAATACTAAATATTAAAACATACCTAATTTTTCTGTCTATCAAAAAGACTAGAAATCAGCAACCTGTATAAAGGAAAGACAATAATTAGTAGAATTACAAACTTGAAAGATCTGGAATTCTATGAATACTGCAGGGCATGATAAGCCTTGACTTGAAACACTTAAACATCCTATTCCAAGCAAATGCATTATTTCCCCTATACACTCTCATTTTTTTCCTTATTACTGCTCTATTTGCCTGTTTTTATAGCGTGAGATCACTGTCAAGCCATTCCAAATGCCATGGTAGAATTCGACTGTTCTTTAAATCGTGAGTTAATTTTAGGAAGTTAGTCAGCATCTGACATTTCACAAAGTTACAGCCATTGTGAAAAATTCTTATATTACCAAGATTCTATCATATGCGATGTGTGTGAGAGAGATTTTGGCAACAAAAAAGTCCAAAAGAGCTTATGGTTTTGTGCACTCGGTGCTTAAAGAGAACATTAGTTCTACATATGTTTAATTGATACAACTATTATCAAAACTACTTGTTAAATAATGCAAGCAATTTATTTAAAAGTGATAAGTATATTTGTTTAAACTGTAAAAACAAATTCAGCTGCAGTAGATTTCTGTACTGAGGCGCCAGGCACCTTCTCTAAGTTTCTTTGCATAAACTCATTAAAAATGTAACATTTCAGCCAGCAGTCATTAACTGGGCTGAAAACTTTCTTTGAGGGGATTAGAGCTTTTTAAAACTATTTAATAGTTTAAATGGTTATTTTATTAGAGTTTAATCTCATCCCTGGAAAAGAAGGAAATGTAATCACAAGGTTAGGTTAATTAAATAGTGCTGGAAAAGTAACTAGTAAAAGTACATCACAGTTTCCCTGGCTGAGGTTCAGCACTTCCCTTGTGCAGGGTGCCTGGTGCCAGTACCTCTCCCTCAGCTGCATGGCATTGCCCGATTCCCATCCACGAACACAGCTAAGAGTTGTTTTACTGGCATCAGCAAGACCGTGTGTGTAATGGCTTTTGTGGAAAGGTCTGCAAAGTTGAATCCAGCTGCTAATGGGTAATTACTGCAGAACATGATTTGTGTGCACCAGACATTTCTGATTTCTTTGTGAACTACCTCTGGTTTAGCCATAAAGGGAAACGTGCCAGAGGACGCTTTGCAACAGGTGACAGTTTTCAGTATCGTAACTGTTTCCTTTTAATTATCAGGAAGAGAAGGTATTTCACCATGTGCAGCAAGGACACCCAAAGAGAAATATAAACCCAGTTGTTAAGGACGTATCAGTCTAACTTCTCTCATGGCATGAAGTACTATGTTGGACAGCCCTTGTTAGATTAGCAGTGCATGGAAGAGCTTGAAACCATGTTTTTCTTGCACACATACATTTGCAAAAGGAATTCCCTTGATATTTTCCCTTTCACAACTGAATCCTACTCTCCTGTGACTGAACAAAAGCAGAAGACACTTCTTATGGAATTTCTTTGTCCACAATCCCTGTAAGTTGTAAAGCTTTTGTGGAGCTTGCACCCTGCTCTACAGGCTACTGAAAGCTCTGGTGAAGCGCCTGTTGTTCACGTCCTGCCTTTATGCTCTCTATTGACCTTTCACCAAAATCACATTATGGGAAGCCAAGGGAATGAGACAAATGTGACAATTCAGCACCATTCAGTCTGGGAAGGAAATGCTTAAGCTTTGAGTTCCCATACTTTAGAAATTCCTGTCTAATGTGATGATTATGATCTCCACCTTCCTAATTGGATTTCATACTGTTAATTTTGTGTATGTAAACATGACCATATGCTGTCTGTGCTGCTTCTTACTGTGGTTTGACTTTACTGAGTGTGCACATACTGTTTACTTTTTACAGATTATATCCACTTGATTTTCTTTGTTATGGTTGCTGTATGAAAACTTTCTCTCTTAAAAAGCAATCCAAACTAACCAACAGCTCCTAGCTAGTGTTATTTTGAGCATACAAAAGCAGATCAGTGTCAAACAGTAGACAGACATTCAACGTAATCACAGAGGCTATATGCTGTTGAATGTTACACCGCATTTGGGACACCAAGGGAAGCAGAATGAGGGACCATGGTTCTGACTGTGGAGTTCCCCTTCAAACTTAGTGGGAAAAGTGAACAAGGAGAGTAAGGAATGAAGAAGCACAAACCCCATTTGGCTTTTTCCCTTTAGTTTCAGCATGGAGTGTCACCGTTTACCATGGGCTCCAACAACCACTGCTGCACAACAAAGCATGCTGCTAGATGCCCAACAGGTGAGATCTATGCTGATTCACAGTGCAGGTACCGTGAGGGGTAGCATCTCTGCTAACCATGTGCTACTTCTAAATCTCTGTGGAACACAGCTATTTTGCAGTGAGCTTCAAAGAATCCACTGCTATATTTTTATCTTTGATTCCTTCTAAAGAAAGAAATACATACTTCTATTTTATTTGGGGCAGTTTTTCACCCATGCCTGTCAACATCAGGAGTCAAAATACGTTTTCAAAGACAAAAAGGGTGTCATTAGTCAGCCTGCATAAAATCATGCTCTATGTAGTCAACACCTGCTGTGATGTAACTCTTCTATATTCTTCCATACGTACTTTTTGGTTATAATCTTTATACACTACTGAAAGGGTTTTGTAGAGTAGCTAGGCTGTAGTTTCTGCTGATACCATAATACTGTTGTCATTTTCTCCTGCTGATACAGATACTTCTTTCTGAGACGGAATCAGTGCTCTGCTGAATTCACGTTAGATGTCAGAGAGGTCTCACCTGCATTTGCTTGGATTGCCTGAGAAGTGTTGGAACAACCTGAACTGTAGAACCTTCTATGGACCAGGAGCTACAGAGGCACATCAGGTCACTCACGCTGTCTAAAACACAGGCTATAAACCTAGAAAAACATAATGTCTCTGGGGTCCTGTAGCAATGAGAATCCTGTGATACAGATGATGTGGATTTCTAGCTTTTGATAGTGTGTACAAGCTAAGAATTAAGCTGTATGGCAATGTGCATTTATGATGTAAAATGCCGTGTGCTGAATGGGAAATAATCCATGAGAGTTCTTTGTATCTTTATAGAAAAATTATCTTTTTTCATAATCAGATTTGAGAAGTTGTTTTCACATTTCCAAATCACAGCAACTGACATTCAGAAAGGAAATACTGATACACAGTCTATTTCAAACTATTTCTATATCCACAGTGGTGGATATTCATGTTTTGAAAAATAGTTGTGAAACTGGTCTGTAAACATGAAAAAATTCTTCCCTTTCTTTAAATATTCTCAAGTAAATAAACATGAAAATAAGAAACAGGCAGAATAAATCCCAAGTTAAATTGATACTGGACCAAATAAATAGGATTGAGGCCATTATGATTAAGAGGAATGTTTGTGCAACACAAGCAGATGCTCAGTAGAAGGAGGGTGATTGTCCCACACCATCCAGGCTATGAAATGCTCCAACCAATACAGTTAATCCAGTGCCAGGCAGGGGACCTCTCTGCTGTCCAGGAACTGCTATGAAAAATGAGACTGGGCTGTTGAAAGCTCAAACTTAGAACAGAAGAGAGAAGTACTTCATTATTTGATATATAAATAAGGTTCCTTTTTTGTTTTTATACTTAAAAAGCAAGACCAATATGTGCTTTCTGACTATGAACATATGGGAGATGTATACCTAGAGACCGTGTTTTGTGGTTCAAAATTTCCTCTTGGTTTTGAGC